TTAGCAGGATACATTGCCTTTTGGTTTGGGTCTTTTTATGGGATTTCTTGACGAGAAGAAAAATATGAAATATCGCCAGACTTACTCTTTAACATCAATCATTTCAAATATGAGAATCAGCTACTTTAAATTGCAATGTAAGGAAGTCAGGGGAAGATGCAAATTGTCGTTCAGTGTAAGGGATCGGAGGGTAGAGTTGGGGGTAAATTCAGTGGGAGGTGGTGAGGTGATTTTAACGGGTAAATGTGTGAGAAAAAGTGCATATGTACTAAGTGGAGTGGATTATAAAAATGAAATGCTAAAACTGAGATGATGAAAATGCATGTGGACTGAAAAAGTGATAAACCATGTTGTGTCTGAGAGGCGTCATCTAGCGCAGTGGTTCTCAAAGTGGGGTCTGGAGACCCCCAGGGGTCCGTGAGGGGGTTCCAGGGGGTCCTCAGCAAAAAGGGGAATCACTTATTTTCATAAGTGACATAGTGACTGATGGATTTCATTCACTTTCTGGAATAAAACATCTAAAAGCCAAAATCCTACCATATGGGCGATCCTGGAGCAAAATCTTAACAAATGGGGGTCCGTGGTCTAATTTGGGTCAGTTTAGGGGTCCTTGAAGAGAAAAAGTTTGAGAACCACGATCTAGCGTTACAGCCTCTGTTTCCAAGTGGAAATACACACTGATTCCTGATTATTCAATATACTTTGGAGTATTTGGAGGTTTACCTGAACACTAGGATCCTGATGTGATCTGGTTATTGGTGTTTTCTGGTTGTGTTTTTGCATGTAAACATCATAACCTGGTCTATTAAACTGGATAGGTTTCGAGAAACAATGGGACTTATGCAAGAAGTTTTTCATATATTTGTATATTCTCATTCTCACATCTTATCCTCGCTTTTCTTTAGCTTTGTGTTCCAAGTTGATTTATCAAACTTGTTCATGTGAGATTTGAGCCCCTAAAACTGCTACATAAGGTTTCTGTTTCATTTCTAGATTCAAGTCTAGATTTTGTAGCATTAAGCCAGTTTTAATTTGCTAGTTTAGACATTCAGTATTAGTCAATTTCAAGTTATCAACAGTTAGCAATTAAAGATTAAGTTATTTATTTATTTATTTTAGAACAAAGCTGTTCCATACTGATGGGAAAAAAAGTAACTTAGAAATAATCGCCTGTTAAGTCATAACACAGGGCAGAGGAAAAAATCAGACTTAGAGAATGCATCTCCAGAATTTATTTTTCCTCACTTGTCTCTCAGGGCTTCTGTACATTTGAATTTCAAGGTCAAATATGTATTTCTTCCTGTGGAGAAAGCAGACTATCTGCACGACTCGTACGACAGGTTTCTAACATCTACAAATTTGCTGAATATGTCAAACTCTTTTAAATCGCTTCTACATGGCAATAGAGAGCCTAAGTCACTCGCTTCCGCTTCCCGGCCCATGGGACCTTATTTTGGAAACAATATGCACGGTAGTCAATGGTGAGAGACAACTTGTTTTTTGATCCTGTTGATGATCCTGTCCATGATGCTTTTGCGTTTGTGGTCTTTTGTAATTATGTATTTTCACAGTCTGATACCTCAAACTGTGGCTGTCTTGATTTTTAAATGTACATTTTAAAATCATCATCATCATCATCATCATCATCATCATCATCATCATCATCATCAAACTAATTGTCCCTTGCCTTTGACTACTGTACATATTTTTGAAGCAAGGTCCCATGGTGGTCCACCGGAAAGGGATGGACTTAGGCTCTCTAACAAATCTTTTCATACGAGTTATACTTGCATGAGGCCCACTGTCAGAGTACTCCAATGGATCACTAGACACCGTCTTGTCATGTATAGGATTTGTTTCTTTTGCAAAAGACACAATCAGGAACCAAGATTAAGTTAGAATCATGTATACAAGAAGACCAACAACAAGATTACTTGCGTTTCATGTCAACGCGAAGTCCTGAGCGTGATCAAAAAACAGAATAAGGCTCAAAACTGAGACACTAGTGTGCATGTAAACATGCTCGTTCACATTTTTAATTCACATGCGTTTCATCCTCTATTTGTTATCTTTTTTTGGTTTTTCTGCCTCCGTATTTACGGAGGGGATTCATGTCTGGGGAGAGATGTTCGACCAAGCTGTTGTCGTCCATCTGCCTTCTTCTTCAGCTGTTTATCGGTTATGTGCTGTACCTACCGGCTGCAGCGGCGGGCTGCGTCCGTGCATGTGGCGGGGTGCGGAGGGGCGACGCGCCCCGGGGTGGGGGAGTCGGACTGGGACTGCTGGGACTGTGCTGCTGCTTCAAGAACGGGCTGTCCAAACGGCCTGGCGGTCAGGACAACACACAGCCACGCACCCCCAAACACGGAGATTCAAACACACACAAACATGTAACAAAGACACGAAGCGACGCACCAGGACAGAGAGATGTGGTGAAGACGGACAAGACAAAGACGGACAAAAAGCAAGAGGGGGAGGGAGAGTAGAAGGACAAGGGAAAGGTCCGAGTCAAGACAAGAGGTTCAGCCCCCAGAGGAAGAAAGTTAGAAGCAGAGAGGATTGTGGAAACCCATGAAGAAGAAAGAAACACGTGGAGAAGTGCCAGAGAAGGAAATTAAAGAAGTCATTCATACAAAGTATTACAAAATGGAGAAATCAAAGAGTGGAGGAGTGGGTGAAATAAATAAATAAGGCAGGAAGTGAGTGGAATAAGAAAGAAGGAATGAGGATGGTGAACACAAATGTGGGGTCAAATGAGTGTAGAGGTGGCAGAAGAAAACCCGCAAGGAAGAAAGAGACAGAAAGAAAAAAGAAAGGACAGAGAAAGAAAAGTGGTTAGTGTGGCTTTCAACACACTGACTGTAGACAGCTTCCAGTTTGGCAGAAATTAACTGCTGACGGAGTTTGTTGAATCTCAGAAAAGGAAAAACATGATTTTGAGTCCCTGCTTAGAGACAATAGATGTTGGTGTTTGGACGACATGAATCTCCTGCTTCTTTGCTTGTTAGCAAATAACATGTTGTGATGTTGTCATCGTATGCTTTGCAAAATAACTGCTTCATGATTAATGCATGATTATTGTGGAGTAGGGATTTCTAGCACAACTTCACCTACTTCACCACCTACTGAAGAGGTCAAAACTGTAGAACGTAGAACAACTTATATGTAGCCTGAGAGGTGAAATCAAGGGCAAGAAAAAGTCTGTATTGCACTTACTGCTGCTCGTAAAGCTTATTGAGTCAGAGGACGCCGTTTGTAGAGATTTAAGTGAGAAATCAACTGTAAAAGTGGGACTGGAGGAGGGCCAGTTTCCACCCATCACCCAGTGGAAATTACACCCTCGCCACTCAAATTATGGCTCTCTGTTGGAAGCAGGGTCATGACAAACACTAACGCTGCAGACAAACAACGTACAACAATATAAATAAGCAAATTAAATTCAAAATCACATTAAAAACTGGTCAAAATTTGTTTGCAACAGTGAGAAAAGAGATTGTTTGGTGGTTTTACAGCGTGAGAAAGGTCGTTCCTCTTGCTCATGAAAAACCTTTTGGGATAAATGAAAAATTTAACGTCTGGTTCTAATAAAGCAGCAGCTGAGGAGACGTTGAAACAGGGCTGAACGATTAATCGTTTTCAAATTGAAATTGCGTTTTGAAGGAACCCAATTAGCTAATCGTGAAGACTCCGATTAAAATGTAGGTTAATTATACAGCGCATCTGACCCGTTTTAAACAGTCATGCAGTTACTGAAAAGAGTGTTTTATTTTGAAAATCAATCGTATTCTCTGTCTGACTTCCTGCCCGGTTCATCTGCTCTGTGCTGCTGACGTGGCTTCAGTCAAAAATAGACTGGCAGTGAATATTGAACTTTAGCAAAACTTCAATAAAAAAAAAAATTGCAATATCTGGCAGAAAAATTAATTTTCCCCAAATCATTCAGCCCTATGTTGAATGTAATTAATGGCGTGTTGAACTTGACAAACTCTCAGATCCACCCACTGCCTCCATCTTTCCGCCACTCCTTGAGTCTCCCTCAGGTGCTTCATCTCTCCATCACAGACTTCATGCTGAACCTGGACAGGAGGCTTTTCATGCACGCAGATCTAAGCAGTCTGTACTTTCAGCAAGTTATTAGTGGCCGGTGGTGGAAAGTAATGTACATTTACTTAAGTACTGTACGCAAGTACAACTTTTGAGGTATTTTTTGTTTTAATCTATCTCTTTTTGTATTCTATTTAAATGTGTTTTTATATCACTCTATGTTGCTTTTGTGTTTTATGAATTGCCTTGTTGAAATGTGCTGCACAAATTGACTTGTGTGTAGGTTGGGAACCACTGGACTAACCTAGCTAAAGTCATATGAAATATTATCTCTCTTTACTGCTCAACTACTACTTTGAGCACTTGCACTTCATGTCCATTTGGCTGACAAGACTTTTGTAGGTATGTTTTGAATGCCTGTCTTTACCAAAGTAAAGGATCTGAGTACTTCTTCCACCACTGGTGGAGGCAGATGTTTGCTTTTTTTGAAGACTTAAGTGCAACTCTGTTATCTCGCCTTGTAAACATATGACAAAAATGAACTTGGAATATGCATTCTTACAAAACACTTTCATTGTTTTGCCAGAAAATGTAAAATGTTTCAAGTAGAAGAGGATGTAAACGTGTTTGTTTACTGCCGACGTGTCCTTTCCTGTCCTGTTTTAATACCTTTTTTGTTTTTTTTAAACTGTGGATGGAAAGATGAACTCAGCTTTCCTTATTTTGAGTTAAGCTTTTTGCTCATTGTGATTGTTCTCGTTTTCTCCACAAGAATGTATAATTAGCATAAACTTCTTAATGGATAACAGATTTTAGAGCTCTATCACCCCCGTTGCCTGGTTTTCAAAAAGCCTTGTATGCTGTTTTTTTATTCTCTTTTGTTCAGTGTTTTGTTTCTCTCAGTTTTACATGGAATGCGTAGAAGATAATTGTTAGGTGAGTTTTAAAGTGTTTACCGGTCCTGTGGATGGACACGGGCGAGGTGTCGACGCTGATGGTCATGGCTCTCTCCTTCTGCTTGAAAAACTCTCGAGGGTTTCCTGACCGCTGAGCGATGATGGCCTTTGCCTCCTGGAAACACACACACAGATAAATATAGACTACACAGCAGTCTGTATTCCACTGATGTTTAGCACAAGGAACAGCTAATAAACAAGGCTTTATCATATCTTTACAGAGACCACATTCATCTTTTTATCCTTTAAACGAGTGGCTATTCCAAAAAGACATTGTTCCAGTCTGAAGTATTCGGTTGTCCTTAAAAATTATCATCAGGTGCAGTTTTATTTAGTATTTAGTTACTGTTATTTGTGTTTTTTAATATCAGAGGATCTCCAGCTTTTATCCTTTTGCTGCCTATATAAAATATTCCTTTTAAATTTTCTGCACAGATCAGATTAGTGTAGATTAACATCCTGCCACTAACTCCTTAAAACATTTGTCTGTAGATTTTGTTGCTGATTTTAATGAAGTAGTTTGCAGGTTTTTCTTTTGTGCATTTTTTTTGTGTGTGTGTGTGTTTTTTTAAGCTGCTAGGTTATTACTGTATGTCTTTCAGACTTACCTCCACCTCAGACTCCTTCTTGTCCAGGTTGAGGTCCTCGATGCTCGGCTCTGCTGCCTGAAGCGAAGAATAATACAGAAGAAGATTCAAAATAAACCTGCAAAACGGTAATTTAAGGATTTAAACCTAAAGCGGAGGCGGGATCATTCAGATGCGCTAAAACACATGACAAATGTTGAGACTCTACATGAATCCTGTATGACTGAACACAAATCCAGCTCATAAAGCAGAAGAGAGTGATCACAAGATGCCACCAGCGAGGGGCGACAGACGCTGCGTTTGTTTCTGCCAACTTCACTGGACATCACACGGAGGTGCAAAGATCACACAGAACACCACAGAGAAACTATAGAATCGACTGACGTGGAATGAAATCAAGAAGGAAGCTTTTCTGGGAGCAATTTTTCACATTTTCAAGCCATTTTGAGCTGTAACAGCTGTAATCTTTATGTCCCAAGTTTTAATGAAAATTAATTTTTTTACACACAGAACTCCTGAGGACGTGACATATTGTCCGACATCATTGACTTTTTATTTTAGACCTTTCTGAATACCAATTAGACTGCAATTTAATACCCGTTTCATGAACATGATATAGAACAAAAACTGGAAATCGGTAAGAATGGTGTGGCCTAGAATTAGTTATTATTAGATTTCATTGTTTCAGTACTTCGCAGTGGTATTTAACAATAATTCCTAATGATATAATTTAACTAACGCAACCTGGACCTGGATTAGTGGCAGTAAAGGGATCAATGGATTAACCATTTTAGAATGATTCATTAAGTTCAATTAAAGTATTTGCAAAATCAAATCTGCCTAGAGCAAGAGAAAACATTTAATACTTTTTTGAATTTTATTTTCGAGGAAACTAAATTTAATGCTTTTGAAGACTTTTCAAGACCTGTAAATAAAAGAAGCATCAAAACATTATTTTTCTGTAGTCTTTTAATTATGATAATTGTATCTTGTATCAAGCATCTTTCTTGTTGTGGTCTTTTTATATGAACTTTTGCCGATGTGTTGCTAGAAACTTCACCCGAACTTCTCTTACCATAGTTGTACATGAACCCAATTATTTGGACAAACAGTTCCATTTTAATCAAACAGAAAAGAGATGTATAGTATCAATTAGAGACTCTGCTCTCTTGTTGCAGTGCCCCTAGAAAACAATTATAGTTCCTGGTGGTGTGATTATTTGGGGAAGCAGTCCAGTCACTGACAACCTACTGGATTCTTCTCCACTTCCATCAATAACAAACAATGCATAAAATTCCTTGTGCAAGGCAATCGAACCTCTGTGTGTATGAACTCACCACAGGGATAGAGTTTAAGATGTTCAGAAGATTAGCTGAAATATCACAGCTGCGCTCTGACGCAGCAGGAAGCTGATTGCAAGATGTTTTAATGGTTTTATGTCTGCTTGTAAAAATAAACCACACACGCACACTGACAAACTGAATATACTGACACTGCCAGACTTTAAATTTTTGTAAAGCACACACTGCATATAATCACTCTCTTCAAAAACAAACCCCGCTGTCAGACAAATTGATTTCATTTTTGTGTCGCGGCGTGACTCCAGAAAACCAGAGCTGTGAAAGTAACGTCTTCATGGTCTTCTGGGGGCGGGGAGTGATGCTTTGATGGGCAGAGGAAGCAGAAACAGGAACAACTAAAATCAACTACAAAAACACTTGCAACACCAAGAAACGTGTCTCCAGAAATAAGGAGAAATTACTTTGCTATCACACAAGAGTAAGAAGGAACGAGTGTTATCTTGAATAAACTCAGGCATAAATGCAGATATGTGGTAGAACAGAAGTGTATATATGTTCTGGTGAGACGGATGAGCAAGATAAATTGATTAAACACTGAGTAAACTTAAATTATGTTGGACACAGCAATGAATTAATGACCAGCACAGTCATTATTACTGATTTCATTGAAAAAAAACACACAAAAGACAGAAACTTACCATGGAGATCTGGTCCCGCAACCTCTCTCTGGCCTCTTCCTCCTCCTGCAGCTTCTTCCTGTTCTCACACACATATACACACAGATTAGATCATACTTTACACTCCTGAGACTTAATCAAAACCTGATCATTAAAACACTACAAGTCATTTTTTAAATCGAACATGTGTCAAACCCAACCAACCCAACCCAGCGTCCCGAAAAAGTTAAGTCTTAGAGGTTAAGATAATTTTCTACAAGCAGTCTGCACGTTTCCCAAAGCAAATATTTAGAACAAGTGTATGCTGTTTAAAGTCAAGGATGCCGAAGATACTTCGCATATTTAACTGCTGTGCTGTATCTTAAACATACTGACATCACAAAGAGGTAACTGTTGTAAAGGCACAAAGACATGTCTTCAGCTTGCTGCTATTTATTTTATTTATGGTTTATTTTAGTAGGGACTGATACAGCCGACATAAATATACCGAAAACAGAAATCCAATGTTAATTTCTCTGTTAGACCTGCTGTATATTTGCTTGTGACAAACACCATCTACACATTGTCCTAGCTAGTGGTTTTTTTCCAGCATGTTATTACAACCCACATTTACGTTTACTGTGGCAGTGACCTTTAATGACTTTACAGTGGTCGCAAAAGAGGACGTCTTGTGATGAATTATTAATAACTGACTACTAATTAAAGCTTACGTGTCATTTTGGGAGGCATGGACAAACGCCATCTTTAGGGGACGCTAATTTAGGAAAATTTCCTAAATTACTGGGAGGTATGGCTAAACGGGATAAATGTATTGGGAGGCACTGATAAAGGTATTGGGAGGCACGGATAGGTCTTACTTCCTGTAGTCTCCAAATAAGGACGAGCGTCTCGTCTCATTCGCGGCCCTTTAAATTCATTGTTTATGATAAAAGCATTGACTTAAAAATGAACAAAAACAATACAACCTTCAGTGAAATTAAGTTTTTGGCTCCTTTTTAAGACACTCTCAGTCTCCTACAAGTGGGTAGGAAGCATTCTATACGAGGGGGGTTCAGATATGCTGCTGTAGGGAAATCAACTCCAACTAAACCACAAAATTACTCGATCATTCACTCTCTTGGTAATTCTCACAAGTAAGTTCAGTAATTAAAACAAACAGACTTGCAGCTTGTGCAGCATATTTTAGGTTGTTAGCTTCTCTTGCAAATTGTTATTGGTGAAACGGGCCCCAGTTTTGCAGAAGTCTGCAGATGTCAGTCCTGAAATAGATGATTTATTTTTTAGTATGATGTGTTTGTGCATCTGTTCCTCACCTGTGCTCCTCAATCTGCATCTCCCTCTCGCGGTACCTCTTCTCTCGGTTCTCCTGCTCTTTCCTCTCCAGCTCCATCCGCTCCTCCTCGTAACGCTGCCGCTCTTCTGCTGCCTTCTTCTTCTCCTCCTCCTTCCTTATCTCCTCCTCACGCTGGAAAACGCGACATAAGTAAGCTGAAGACTGCAACTAATGGCATAAAGGTTTCACTGTCCAACACCAAAAGATGAAAGATATTCAATTTACAATCATGAAACAGAGAACAGCAGAATATTTGGGATTTTTGCTTGTTAATGGTCAAACTAATTAATCCATTATCGTCCATAAGTTGATAAATTATCTGTCGCTTTGAGTTTCTGAAGCTGTGAAAGGCAGAGCCAATGAGTAACTTGCAGCTGGATGAAGCATGTTGTCATTTTGCATTTTGTTTGAATGTGCTGAAGGCAACACAGCTGGAGGACGCAGACATCTGACTTTGTTCTTTTCTTCGACTACATAAAATACCAGTGTGTGAGGTGGATGAAGTATTCAGATCCTTTACTTAAGTAACAGTACTATTACATCACGGTAAAATACTCACTCAAAATACATATCATCATCTCATATAATTACATTATTATTCCTTATGCATTCATGTAAATGTCGGATTTTACTGTTGTATCAGACTCCAATGATTATTTTCATTATGGATTAATCTGCTGATTGTTTTTTCCAATAATCGATTGTAAGAATTCTGAAAATAGTGAGAAATGTTGTTACAATTGCCCAGAGCCCAAAGTGACTCCTTCATAGTGCTTAAAATATACACAAAATGATTTAAAAAATAGTATAATTAAAAGGAAAAGCAGCAAATCTTCACATTTGTGAAACATGAAATGTTTTTACAGGAAAAGTAACAAACTATTATCGAAATTGTTGCCAATTAAATTTCAACTAATTTTCTAGCTGTACTTGAATAAACTTTTGGGCAGTTTAATTTATAAGAAAACATCATATTTTTAAAACTCTTAACATGTGTTTAAAGTAGCTGAAGCTGAAAAGAAACATGAAAAGAAAACACTCAAGTAAAGTACACTCTATACCTCTAATTTCTACTCAAGTGCAGTACTTGAGTAAATGTACTTAGTTACTGTCCACCACTGTACATAACCGGAATTAACATTGACTGTATTTATTTAAAAGAGTGATAACACTGTACGGTAAATATGAAGTTACAGCCAGTAGCAGGTTAGCTTAGCACAAAGACAGGATGTTAGTGTGCCTAAAAAAACATGTTCACAACTAACACCTTGCTTTGTTACAGGGGTTACATGCCAGACTAATTAATGGCTGGGCAGACTGACATCTTGCAGTCTCTGCGGGTTGTGTGGCAACTGCGCAGAGTCAAGTCATAGTCTATCACCCCCCCCAAAACACAGTAATGTGTTGGGGGTTTTTTTATACTTTTTTTGTACGGATTAAGAAAATGGGTTTATTTTGTTAACTTTGCCAGGCTAACTGTTTCCCCCTGCATACAGTTGTTGTGCTTAGCTAAGCTAAGCTATGTTTTAGCAAACTATTCGATTGAACTCTGCAACTGGAAATAAACTCCTTGTGAATGGTGAAAACTGTTTGTTAAATGTCATTGCCTCCTTTCAGATTCCACACCTACCTTGGCCTGCTCCCAAAACTCCTCTCTATTGATTTTCTTCATCTCGATCTCTGCGTTGGTCTTCTCGTACACCGTGCCCTGCATCGGGAGAGAAAGAGGGTAGAGAGAGCTTAAGTTTCTTTCGTCACAAGTAGGGCTGTACATAATCGTACATAACGATTATTTTTCAAGTCGATTAATCTAACGAATAATTTTGCGTATTCTAAAGAAAAAAAAAGTTGCCTATTACTCGATTAACGTACCAATTTATCCAAAATAAATATCAAAAACATGTCTAATCAATAATATGTTATTTAATCATCCTCACATGCACATTAGAATAATGACAATAGCAGCAAATCTTAAAATGAATCCAGTTTCCACGTCACTGATGTTTTGTGATAATAACAATAACAGACATTAATTAGACTACTTTACTTAAAACTTTAAATGTTTCTGACATGGATTCATTTCAATGTTGAGTAATGCGGTATGAGAATCAAACGTATTTCTGTATCAGTGTGGGGCAAAGAAAACAGATTGTGTGTACTGTTAGATTCAGCTGTTTTCTCGCTCATACGTGGCTGTTAAAGAAACAGAAAATATGAAACGGCTGAATGTTAGATGACACATGGTGTAACGTTACGTTACCATGACAGCAGCCTGGCCGGAATTACTTTTAACATGAAGGCGATGAAGAAATACTTTTTTTTCCGATTACATTTAAAAATACATTTTAACGGACTACGTGTCCTCGTGCTGATTATGTGCCGTGCCTGTGTGGAGACAGAAAGTAAACACGATTTGCGGTGCTGCCGTCGGCGCTATGGGATACTTTCGCTCCACGTGCTCATGCTGTTGGACAGCAGCTGTGCAGCACGTTATTGAGTGTCTGTCTAAAATGCTCCCAAACTTTAGATGGTCGAAGGCGCGGTCTGGTAGCTGGAGCTTGTCCCACTAACACCGAATGCAGCGACGCTTCGATGCACGTAATGCGAATCGCCCCAGCCCTAGTCACAAGAACAGCCAATAAGGCACAGTCACAAAGTTATTTCTGCATGAAAAAAAATAAAACATGTAGAAAAAAGTCCTAATTTAGCAGTATATTACATTAGTGGTATTGACATTACTTCAGTTTAAAAATGATGACATTCAAAAGTCCTTAAAGGCCAGTTTTCACAGTAATGACACAGCAACAGTGTAGCTACTGAAGCTAACGTTAGCTTCACAGCTCTGAATCCTGGAAATCCTGATGCAGATGTTCAGTTTTCACCAGCTGTCTGTCATTCACTAGACCCTCCTTGACCTTCTGTAGATAGTGACCCACGCTGTTCTTGGAGAGCATAAAGACAGAGTCCACTCTTTATAGTGACTGAAAACAAACACAAGTCCAGCTCTGTTAGTCCTCACTCCAGTGAATACCTTAGTATATGATCGCTTGTGTGGCAGCATTTTGGGTCCCCGGTGGAAACAATAAACAGCGACGAGACGCGAACAATATGTAAAGCAACCTTTCAAAATACACCTGCGTTGTTTGAAGAAAATCAATATTTTCCAGTCATATATTTTATCATTGAAGATTTCCTAAATAGTGTTAAAATATCGTATCGTGAGCTATGAGTGTCGTCACACCTTTTAATGCCGAGGGAGGAGAGGAAGATCGAACTTCACTTGAAAAGGCACTGGTCTAAACACACAAATTATTTTCTACGCGTGTGTGAGTCGACTCTCGTTGTTCTTACCACGTCTCTGTGCTCATCCTCCCGGGTTCTCAGGCGGCTCAGGACCGGACTCGCCACCACCACTGTCCCGTTGGTCAGGCGCTGCCCGATGGCTGACGGGTCGATGTCGTCCAGACTGCTGGCGTTGATAATGACCTCCACCCCCTGGAGAGAGAGAGAGAGGAGAGTTACCACATGAGGGAATCAGACTGACTGGCTAGATCTACACTAGCCCTCAGATTTACTTATTTATTTGTGTGTATATATATATACACGCACCTGATCCTCGCTGTTTGTGAGTTTCCAGAATCTATTTCTGTTTTACTAAATAGGACATCAACAGGAGGGAATTCACACGGCAGAACTAGATGAAGACCTATCAGGTAAAGTTATGTAGCCTATAGTTTTAACTTAAGTTAAATAGGCTACAGCAGAGCGCCTGCCGTTTACTCGTAGAGCACTTATATACAAACACACACAAAGTGAACTTCTGTTATGTTTAGTTTTTCTTTCTAATGCAAGTTTTTGCTAATGTTTTCAAATAGATAAGTAAAATATGATGTTGCAATAAGGTTTTAAAAGTACTTCCCTCCTTTTTTCTTAATATATCTGACTATATGTAAGCTAATATCAATATTCAAACAGTTAATCAACACTAATTTCATCTCGTAATTGTATTCAACACAAGATTTTATTAAATTTTATTTGTGATAGATTTAAAACACGGCACATAGATAAGGTGGTTTGGTGTGGGAGAACTGGGTTTGATTCCCACTGTGAGACATCCACCATTGTGTCCCTGAGCAAGACACTTCTGACATGTATAGCAATTACAAGTCGCTTTGGATAAAATGAATAAATGAATAAATAATAATAATAATGTAAATGTAAAACGATCTAATGTCTTGTGTAGTATATAAACTAGTACTACAGTAGTATTTATAATTTGTTCATCATTGATCATATTACAGATTATTCATGCCATTAAAGACTGTTGGGACTGTGTGTGTGTGTGTGTGTGTGTGTGTGTGTGTACTATCCCCAAAAGGGTCATTGAAAGCACCGTCGGTGTGAAGTTGAGGCTGTGTGGGAGACAGAACTGCCACTTAGAATAATGACACTTCACACACACACACACACACACACACACACACACACACACACACACACACACACAGACTTTGGCATATATATATATATATATATATATATATATATATATATATAAAAATGTCACCTCTGCTTTAATCTCGATCTTTTTATCTACTCTACAAATCCAAAAATACACACTCAGCCAGGTGTACAAGTGTGAATACACTGCTGTGTATGACACACACACATACACGCTCAGTGGGTGAGAGGATTGTCATTCAGCTCAGAGCTCTCAGCACAGAGAGATTACTTTAAAAAGAAATGGTATTAGTCATGCACTGTAACACACACACACACACACACACACACACACACACACACACACACACACACTATTGTTCCTCCTCTTTGATCCTCCTACAGGTTTAATGTGCTGCAGCTTCTTTTTTCCACGGAGAGTTGGTTGAAAACAGAAGAACATTCAAACATTCTTCATTTGACAAAAAAATACAGAAAATTGAAGCATATTATGAAACAAACACAGATCACATCAGATCTGCTGCATTAGTTCATACATGTACGTGCATCTGATGACACGATAACATGAGGCGGGAACCTGCGGGTCTGAAAAGGGAAGCCAATGCAAACACCTGCGTCCTCTCTAGCAGCCAGCAGGGGGCGACTCCACCGGCTGCAGAAAGAAGTGTGACTTTATCAAAATCTATGAGAAAATGTTTCTACTTCTCAGCTGATTTATTCCCTCAGTAAATACTTTCCTGATGAGTTTATGGTCTCAGTCGCTAGTTTCAAGTCTTCTTCAACACAGCATGATGTTCATTTAGTAAATTATGGTCCCATTTAGAGGAACAGAGACCACGAAGCAGAGTTTATTTCAGGGCGGGATTATCCATGATTGATAAGATGTTACCATGGCGACCTGTCAATCAGGATAGAGGTGACTCGTATCCGCTGCTCTGTGTACATTTAACCAGCTGTGTTGAAAAACTCGGCTATTAATTTTTTCCAGTAAGTAAATTTTTTTATTAAGCCTTTTCGCGAGCCAGTTAAAATCACAGTTAATGTGAATTACGGATGCTAACCAAGCTAGTGCCACCCACTTGTCCAAATCCCGCCATGTCCGGTGCCTGGTTGCAACAAATCAAGATGGTGTCAGCCAAAATGCCAAACTCGAGGCTTCAGGGTGACGTCACGGTGGCTACGTCCACTTCTTTTATACAGTCTATGGTTTCAACGTGACAAAGGGTTGCATTCATATTGAAGAGTTTGATTTGTGCTGTAGAAATCCTCTCTTCTAATGCACTTTAGGACCTCACCTCACTTAAACCTGACTTAAGTTTAACCTCAAATACAATGACCTCTCATGGTGTTCAGACTAAACCAAATGTGGACTTTAAACCTCAGCTTCTGAGGTTAAGCCTGCCTTAAACCTTAAACTGCAGCTAAGCTAATGGCAACAGCAATTTGTTATTAATGATATGTCATTATTTCATGAACCAAGTTACAAAAGCGGCAGCAGAAGCTAATAAGCATTCAAATAAATGAACAATAAAATAAAAAACATGCTAATACATATAAAAGATCATTTGCACACTTATTGAGTTTTTAATTAGTAATGTTTAAAAGTACCGTCGTAGGTCTGACCTGGAAGAAATCTGCGATGGTGGCGACGTGGCTGGCACAGGCACACTTCCTGGCATCCGGCACGTCTTCCCCGACCTGGGAGAGAGTGAGCGAAAGAAAGAAAGAAAAATGGAGGGGGGAGAGGGAAATCAAGAATCCAAACGCAGCTGATATGTTTTCTTTGCTGGTTTCTGTTAATTCAAGTGATCAGATTCACAAGGACAGTTTTCCCCCTCCGTTGTGGTCTCATTAGGGCTTTTGTTCAGCCGTGGTCATGTTCAGTTACTGACACAGTTGTATTATAACAGGCTGGATGTGATTCAATAATCACAGCTCATTCAAACCAACACAATGCAAACACAGTAAGCAGCAATTACAGAGAGAAAGGAACACGGGAAAACAGCCTCATCTCATCTGAATTCATGGCAATTTATCTCTCAATAGCAAAATTGAAGCACTTTATCTATCTGTGTGTGTGACGGACCGAAGAGGAGAAAGAAGCTTGGATGTTCTTGAAGTATACTTAAGAATTTGCGGTTCATTTTGGCACCATTGGGTGTATTTTTGGGTGTATTTCTGTTCATTTTTCACACTTTTTTTGTACACTTTGTCGATTTTTGGCCCATTTCTTAGAACAGTTCGGCCTGCTTTGGCCCAGTCTGTTTCGGTCTGGTGCTCTTTTGGCTGTTGCTGTGTTACATTATGATGGGACCCCTCTGGCTCTGCTCCCAGAATCATTTAAACCACCAAATGTCTCTTTCTTTCTCTCTCTCCCTCTCAATCTCCATTCAGTGCAATTACCGGATCTTTCTGTCGCTTTCTGCCCTTTTTTTCATTCAACTCTTTCTCCTAGAAATCCCATTTATATTCTACTAATTTGCAACAGCAAATAGCTTTTGAGAGAAACGTAATGCCACCCAGATTAAGTTTTTTAGCAACATAGTGATGGAACAGAACGTGCAATCTGCAATATGTCTACTGACAACATGTTTCATTATGTAATATCTGCTCACAGCAACAGAAGTATGATTATAATTTTTTAGGATTATGTTTAGGGAAATATAGTGGTTTTGGTTTGATATTGAAAAGGTTTACAGTGACTTCAAACTCTGAAATCACTGACCAGGGCAGGTCATGTTTAAAATCCTTGCACACCACCTAGGGAAATATGTCCAGTCTGAATATGCCTTTAGAAGTTACAAGTAGATACTGCAGGAAAATAAATTAAACATCTCAGTAAACAACATTAGCAAATGCAGCAAATCATTTTACTTACATTAATATAGATTATATAGAACCACCTCATTTTCGATAGGCGGGGCCTGGTTTGACTGCCAGTCGAAACCCTCGCAGAGGCGTTATGAAACGAGGATCATACTATTTGGGCTCTATAGGGGTGCTGAGAACTACAACTACCTGGTTTTCTCCCAATTAGTTAATATACAGATAATTTTGATATAAATATTCAACATTTCATGCTGTAAATAAACATGTAAAAGATTGAGGCTTTAAATAAATCTTTTTTAAAGAGTTGTGTGTGACATGTGAATCATCACAAAAAATCACAAAGAATATTATATCATATCATTATATATCATTTTTAAGCAGTACTAGTGCATGTAATTGCTACTCGGCGAACATGCACAACTGCAGAAATGCAGAAAAGTACCACCATTACACATTATAATTTGATTATTAGATTTTGTTTGTTGACAAAGAAAAAACACTTTGTTGTTACAAATTTGTTGTATATAAACTGAATTTTAAGGAGACCACGTTGTTTCATTCTGCCTCTGTGCTTCTCTTTTCACATCCCTCTCTCATTACGTAGGTGCACTCTCTCAGGGCGCTCCTGCTGTTGTCAGAAAGCAAAACATTCATCTTAAGGCTCTCAGATGAACTGTGTTTAAATGCACTCACTGCATCACAAATTATTCATTTCTTCCTGTTAAGCTTCTTTTTCATCATGAATTAAATGGTGGGCAATTTTCTCCGGCTCTGTTTATTGTGCAGTGACTTGATTCAACTTTTTCTCTGTTTGGCCGTCGCAGGAAGGTCACGAGTTCAATCTCTGAAACGCACATCAGGCTACATCAGCCCTCTTGTTAAAATCCCCATATAAAATCCTGTAAAGACGCCATCTGTGCTCTGGATCCCTGACAAGTCAATGACTGTCCACTCCAAAATGTTATACTTTCCTGTCGTCTGATGAGAAGTCTCGGTGTGGACACCCTGGAGACACTGTCTTCTTTTTGACATAAAAATGAGGATGGGGCAGTGGCTAAGAAACATTCCTTTGGTATGAGAGACCCGGGTTCAATTCCCCACTGTGACACATCCACCAATGTGTCCCTGAGCAAGACACTTAACCCCTAGTTGCTCCAGAGGCATGAGACCCCTGACAGATATAGCAAATGTAAGTCGCTTTGGATAAAAGCATGAATTAAATTTAAAAATATCAAGGTGTTTAAAATTTTTTGTACTTCCCAGGAAGCAATTTTCAATTTAACGCAGTCCAGTACAACACCGTCACTAACTACGACCTTAGCGCTAAAAAATATAATGGAATGAACACTTCCATAATAACATAACAGACATAATAAAAGTAGACTTAATAGCAGAACAATTGTAGGTTATGGATGGCATTAGATTGCACAGGTGTACCTAATAAAGTGGACGCTGAGTGAACATCTGCAGCTTTAAACTGCTGCTGCTGTTACTGTCTTTGCTGAGGCTGCTGCTCTGTGATTGGATGATGTAGACAGAGTCTGGATTTAGGTCCTGCACCAACATGGCATGTCCTTGTTAAATAAACTGTTGAATTAAAAATATGCTTTTACCCTTAATGACTCTGATATTTTCATTTAATACCTTTGAGGACATTTCAGTGTGTGTGTGTGTGTGTGTGTGTGCGCTGCCAGGGGTGTTTGGCGTAGCGCCATGCACCGCCCCTCCCCTCCAGTCTCCTGTCTGACGGGGCGACTCACCCAGTTGATAAGGATGTAGCGTGGCAGAGCGGAGGTGGGCTCCTTCAGGCTGCAGAAGCCGTACATCACCCTGCCGTTGTCAAAGGTCAGTGTGATCTCTGCCAGACCGCCTCCTGCACCACAGAACAAGAGACCTGTTTTGATATTTCTGTTAGACTGTCCTCTCTCAGGAAGACGCTGTGAACATCCAGTTAATCATCTTATGAAAGTAACTAAAAAGCAATCAGAGCTCATATAAGGTAACTCTGCCGAGACTAGACAATCCTTTGAATGTGTTATTTTGATAAACAATCATTAAATAAATACCTAAATCCTGTCTGGGAACATTGAGGCTTTGTACAGCGTTGAATTGCAAAACATTTGAAGATACAGAGTCAGATTATCAGCATTTAAATTTATCATGTTACTGTTGCACCACTTGTTTTGTGAAATGCCATCAAATTTCTCAGGATCACTCAGTTTAAATCAGAATCAGTTTATTTGATAATAAAAAAAAGGTATGTGTACACATACGAGGAATGTGACTCAGGATTGTCACGATGTGCTTACTCATACAATAATACAATAATAAAATCAGACACAGGCTACAGTATCGAGAACACATATTTACACACTATAAAAACACAAAAAATATAGACAGATTGAGACAATAGTGCAATGAGCGGAGTGCAAAGGATGCAGGAGTAAAATTATTATCATTATTATGAACATGCCAGAGGTGGATGTGATATAGAGGTGCACATACACATACATGCATACATGTACACAGTGTGATGGAGAACAGTGCAAAGGATGCTGGAATAAATAAGTCTGATGTGCAGGTGTACTTGAGGTAGGTGGATTTGATATATAGTATATACAAGATACAAAATGACAATATAACAGTATGAACAGCTCTGAAATAGAGATTGATGAATAAATGATAAGTGGTAACCAGTAAACAGGTGGCTGATTAGAGGCAGAGTTACTGGGTTATTGCACAGGAATTGTTCCTGACACGGTGAGTCAGAAAACAGCTGTTCATCAGAGTGATGGCTTGTGGGAAGAAACTGTTCCTGAGTCTGTTGGTTTTGGCGTACAGTGCTCTGTAGCGCCTACCAGAGGGGAGGAGCTGTTTGTGTCCGGGGTGAGATGGATCTGCAGTGATGTTTCCTGACTCTGGAAATGTATAAGTCCTGAATGGAGGGCAGGTTGGCACCGATGAGCTTTTCTGCAGTCCTGACTGTCAGTTGTAGTCTGCTCCTGTCCTTTTTGGTGACAGATCCAAACCAGACAGTGATGGAGGTGCAGAGGACAGACTGGATGATGGGGGGCAGAGGACAGACTGGATGATGGCTGTGTAGAAGTGGATCAGCAGCTCCTTAGGCAGGTTGAGCTTCCTGAGCTGACGCAGGAAGTACATCCTCTGCTGGGCCTTCTTGATGATCGTGTCAATGCTGGGCTCCCACTTCAGGTCCTGGGAAATAGTGGATCCAAGAAACCTGAAGGATTCCACAGCAGACCCAGGGCTGTTGAGTATGGTGATGGGGGGCAGAGTGGGGGGGCTCCTCCTGAAGTCCACGGTCATCTCCACAGTTTTGAGCGTGTTAAGCTCCAGGTTGTTCTGACCGCACCAGAGAGCCAGCTGATCAACCTCCCGTCTGTAGGCCGACTCATCACCGTCCCGGGTGAGGCAGATGACCGTTGTGTCGTCAGTGAACTTCAGGAGTTTGACAGATGGGTCTCCTGAGGTGCAGTCGTTGGTGTAGAGGGAGAAGAGTAGGGGGGAGAGCACACACCCCTGGGGGGCGCCAGTGCTGATAGTCCGGCTGCTGGATGTGATGTTTCCCAGCCTCACCTGCTGACTCCTGTCAGCCAGGAAGTCTGTGATCCACTGACAGGTGGAGGCTGGCACAGTGACTGTTTGAAGATGGCGTTGGAGTGGGGGAGAGGTGTGACTGTGGGCTTTTCAAACCTACAATAAAAGCCATTCAGCTCGTCTGCCAGTTGTTGAGTACCAGCAGTTTTGGGGGATGGTTTCCTGTGGTTAGTGAGTGTCTGCAGGCTTCTCCACACTGACACAGGATCATTGGCTGCAAAGCTGTTATTTAGCTTTTCAGCGTAGCATCTCTTTGCTGCTTTGATCTCCTTAGTCAGTGTGTTCCTGGCCTGGTTGTACAGGACTCTGTCCCCACTTCTGTAGGCCTCCTCCTTGGTCTGACGAAGCTGCCTAAGTTTGTTTTTGGTTGTTGTATGTGCGGAAGGTTTTAGTCGGCACACACCTCACAAAAACTGATGTAAGATGTCACAGTGTCAGTTAGTTCCCCCAGGTCAGTGGCTGCAGCCTCAAAAACACTCCAGTCAGTGCAGTCAAAGCAGGCCTGTAACTCCAGCTTTGACTCGTTGGTCCATCTTTTCACAGTCTTTACAACAGGTTTAGCAGATTTTAGTTTCTGCCTGTATGTCGGGATAAGATGAACCAGACAGTGATCAGAGAATCCCAAGGCTGCACGGGGGACAGAGCAATATGCGTCCTTTAATGTTGTGTAGCAGTGGTCCAGTGTGTTAGTGTCCCTAGTGGGACACTTAATATGCTGTCTGAGATTTGCTCTGTTGAAGTCACTAAGAACGATGATCAGGGAGTCTGGGTGTTTTTCTCCATGTTAGTTATCTGGTCGGCCAGGTGTAGTAACGCCTCACTAACACAGGCCTGAGGTGGAATGTAAACAGCGACTAGGACAAACAAGAAAAACTCCTGCGGTGAGTAAAAAGGTTTACAGTTTCTAAATAATGTCTCTAAGTGAGGACTGCATGATTTCTTTAACACTGTGACATCTGTGCACCAACCTTCGTTTAAGTAGAGACAGAGTCTGCCTCCCCTTGTTTAGCGATCCGCACGGAAGAGATTATATCTCGGTAAGTGAAGTGCGCTGTCCGGGATGTGAATCAGCTGACTAATTTGTGTTGCATGTTGTCAAGAGGTATTTACTTTTATGTCAAATAGAGCAAGCAAAGAATTTAAAATGTAAATAATAACTAAAAGAAAAGATTTATCATTTTTTTTCTGGATAATTCAGAACTCTTAGTTTAGTTTGGAAATTTCTGTGATTTCTTTTGATTTGGGGACATTGAGATAAACAGCTCAGATAATTCTCCTCTCAGCTGTGATTAAACCATCACAGAAGAAGAGTGCACAACGAGGTGACGTCATTAAAAGATGGAAAACCATGTGGGAAACATGATGGAAATATGACATTTCTGTTAGTTTCATGTATTAATGTGAGGAAGGTCTCCTCATCGCTCCACACTGTTTTTGTCTCTTCATGTTTCAGTCACATGCTTTATTCACTAATACTACTATACTTTCACTTTTTCACCTCAGCCAAGTAGTTTGTTTTTAGTGATAATTACTAAATGTTAGCATGCTGATAATAATAAATCTGACAGGAAACCAGTTAACAGATCACTTATTCCTGTGATCACCCAGATAAAGGTTCAAGGTCTAAGGATCAAGGTTAGTTTCAAAGTGGTCATATTACACTCATTTTTAGGTTCAAAATCATATGTAGGGTTTGTACCAAAACAGGTTTACATGGTTTGATTTTCAAAAAACATTGCTGCAGCTCCTCTTTTCAGTCTGTGTTGAACGCTTCGTTTTAGCTATGGAGTGATACATCTTGTCTCTAAATGATCTTTGTTAGGAGTTGCACATGCGCAGTTCCTAGTTAAGGACTACTAGCCAATCAGAAGCAGAGTAGGGCGGGTCCAACAAGTCGGTAAACACGGCTTCGGTTCAGCTGTACATGTTCCCCTGACCAGCTTGGCAACATGGACTGGAGCGAGAGTTTCAGAGTGGTGAGTTATTAATCTGTAACAAAAGTATCTTTCATCCATAAAGTTTTAACTGAGCTCTGTCTCTACATCACAGGAACAACTTTATGTCCACTGACTGCCTGGAGGGTAGCTAGTGTTTGGAAGGGAGAGGAGAGCTGTTCAGCTCAGTGTTTTTGAGGGCGTGTCGGACAAGACGCTTGGCGAGCGTTATATGAGGCACATTTTGCTGTGACGTCACAGGGATCCAAGGGAAAAGGCTGGACTACAAACAAGCTGTTTTCAGGCAATTCAGAGCCAAATTTTGTCTTCCAGTGTTTACATATATATATATGTACATATATATACACACACACATGTTCACACAGTATGTATTTTTGCCAATGCATGCGTACTTGTGATATTATTACATTCTGGAAAACTGCATGTGTGTGGATCAAATATGCGGGAGTCTAATTAAACTGTAATGATCATGCCATTAACTGTACTAATAATGAATCCAGCTCTCCTGTGGCCCAGTAACAGTAAAGAGACAAAGAACATGATAATTTTCCCCCCAAAGCAGCAGAACCTGCAGAGCTCATCAGAGTTACAACCGCAGTGCTACACCAGCAAATTACAACCATCTCCACACATAATGTTTATAGGCAGCCACGTTCATCAACACACAAAAAGAACAACGGCAAGGTGTCACATTAGGGGGAGATTACATTTTTGGATTCGACTGGTGACAAAAAAACATAAACTTACCTCCTGACGATGCGAGCGTCAAATCATTGCTATCATCCTCATATGTGTACAAGGCCCTGTTAGAAAAAGACAAAGAGAAAGAGAGAGTGTTAAAAGTAAATTTTCACCTTTATGAACATTACAGGATCATGTTTATAAAGGCAGAAAAGGCAGATATTCTGCGGTCTGTCAGGTCTGGACTCGAGTCATAAATCTGACAGTGGTGGACAGTAATGGTAAGTCCATTTACTTAAGTACTGTACTTAAGTACAAATTAGAGGTACTTGTACTTTACTTGAGAATTTTCTGTTCATATAAACTTTCTACTTCTAATCTACTTTTACTTCACTACATTTATCTGACAGTTTCAGTTACTTTACAAATTAAGATTTTAATACATATAAGGAATTTATAAATATGTTTTGTTATAAATTATACTACCCAAAGGTTTATATGAGCACAGCTGAAATGATTAATCATTAACTCAATTGACAGAAAATTGGCACTATTTTGATCATAGAGTCGTTTTTCATGCTTAAACATTTCATTGTTCCAGCTTTACAAATGTGACGATTCGGTGCTTTTCCTTTTAATAATTTGAAGAAATTGAATTTATTGTTTATATTTTTGATGGTTGGACTGTCTTTTGGACAAAACAAGCATTGTGAAGGTGTCACATGTATGTATGAGGAATAATAATCTAATGATGGAATGAGTAGTACACAGTCACATGGGACATTTGAGACATTGAGTACTTTTAATACTTTAAGTAGCCTACATTTTCCTGGTTATACTTACATACTTTAACTTAAGTAACATTTTAAAGACTACTTTTACAGTGGGGTATTAGTACTTTTACTTAAGTAAAGCATCTCAATACTTCGTCCACCACTGAAATCTGATGACTATAGACGTAACTGCAATATATTCCAGATTTGCATTTTTCTGTACCAACAATTAACAACATGCTGATGTTTAGCAGGTCCACAAATTTAGCACGTTAGCACAAACATTTGGTAATTAGTACTAAAAACAAAGTACTGCTGAGGGTGATGGGACTTTCATTACTGTCAAGTGTTTTGTCATACACTGAAGTTTCAGGGCAAATTATTTGATTTGATTATCATTCCCTCAAATATTGCAAATCAAGTCACATTATCAGTCAAAATAATTGTAATTCGTTATTGTTTCAAAATTGTTTAGCCCTAACAATCCGTCTACTACTAGATGGTATTTTACGGGATAGGTGAAAACCTTGGCCTGCTGTTGGTGGACGAAACATCAGGGCATCGCCAAAGTAATTTGGAATAATCCTCTGAGCACCATAATTGTTTGTTCAAGATTTCATGGCAATCCTTCAAATAGTTTCCCTGATATTTCACAAAAAACTAAAGGAAAAGTTTCTCTGTTTTGTTGCGTACTGGTTTTCTGGACTGTTCTGTAAGACAAAAAAAATATTGTGACCATAATTGATTTTAGTGCTAATTAGCTGGAATGCTAACATGCTAAATTAAGTTGGTAAACATGATACCTGTTAAACATCAGCATATTAGCATCGTCCCTGTGAGCGTTTTAGAATGAAAATGATCATTAGTATTTAGCTCAAATAACTGCTGGCCTTACTAGACTTTTTATTGTTGTTTTCACATTACATAAACACTTCTGCTATATCTCTATCAACACTCTCTGTGAATTTCGAAACGTTGGCAGTGTTTCAGACTGATCTTGGTTCAGTGCGTTGTCTGTTAACACTATGCTGCTACTACAAAATACAACCATTCTGCTGTTCACCATTCAATCACATCTTAACTGATTAACATCAGAGAGCAAATCAGCTGCTTCCCCGGTGGCCACGGCTGAGGACGAGTGACTCCAGTCGTCACCAGACAAAAGTGTTACAAACCTCTTTAGGATGACTGATTGAGCTGCATTATCTGCTCGAGTGTTTGTGTGTGAGTGTAAAGCAGATTACTAGGTTTGATTAATGACTGTGGGAACTCCATCTCGGCCCACATCATGAACAAACACCTACTTTCAAAGCACGTACAGTATATACTCACTGCATTATATAAAATCAAATATATGCAGGCCCCCACACATCACTCACACACCTTTGGCTGGGGTTAAATGAAAGTGATAGAGATTACAGTTTAGCCGACATCTCCAGATTAAAACATTTTGACCTCCTGTTACGACCCTGTTTCACCAGCGGTGGAATGTAACTAATTACATTTACTCAAGTACTGCACTTAAGGACAAATTTGAGGTTTTGAGATTTTTGAACACAAAACAAATGAAAAACTTGATAAACGTGATAAATTACACTATGCAAAAGTTTATATAAGTACAGCTGGAACGATTAGTCTAAAGTTTAAATGATAATTATATTACTGGATGATTATTACTGATGCATAACATCAATGCCGCCCCCCGCACTATTCTCATCCTCAAGGAACTAGTAAATATTATAACATTAATTACAATAAGTAAAATAAGTTTGTATAATATTAATATATTTACAGGCCACACTTTATTTGGATAGTCTGCCTGCCTGTTCCATTCATTAAATTATTGTGCAAGACAAATGCTCTACATGGTCGTTAGTCTCTGATTTGTTCACCATTCATGTGAGAACAAGTACAACATTTAAAAAGTTTGGTGATTGCGTCACTTTGTGTTGTAAAGTGGTGAAGACATAAGGGCTCAGATTTGGGGTGTGACGACTTTGAGCATTAAACACTTGATTTCCTGCATTCTGGAGACATTTTCTGCACCAATTTATGGTGGAAAAGTCTTTAATGTATGAAGTGAAACAAAATTATGGTGGCATGTGAAAATATTCACACAATGGAATATAATGCAGTAATCAGCTTTTGGACAATGTATTTCTTTCTTCTATATTTCAGTTGCATTGCATGTTTTCCTATTGTGCATTGTTTAATTTGTTATTTAACATTTCTTGTTTCTGTTTTTCAGAACATTTATAACAAAAGTTTTCAAAAATTGATGGAGACATTCAGATTCTGACTTGTCCCCTGCGGCCCCAAGTGAAAATGACACCTATCTGTCAATATTTTAATGTCCCACCCCATCCAGGCTGTGATTGGGAGAAGTCCTGGTACGCAAAAAAAATGGCCCGGTACGCCAAAGAGTAAAATATCGAGGTACTTCAAGCACTGTGTGTATTGTAATCTATAACAATATATTTTTAAGTAAACTGATCATATGTTTTTTATATTGAACCATATTCTAAAAAGAAACTGGTAGCTACAGCTGTCAAATCAATATAGCTGAGTAACACAAGTACATTATTTATCTCTAAAAGGAAGTAGAAGTGTAAATAAGCATCCAACGGTAAAGCACAAGTACCTCGAAATTGCACATTTACAGAAGTACAGAACTTTCCACAGCTGGTAGTATCTTTAGATATATTTCTATGGATTTGATGAAATAATTTATTACAATATTTTTAAAATAAAAACTCTTCCTGGATGAATGAAAGATATTCGTGGCCGACCGACTCTCCATCAAATCAGTAGAGGCTGTGAGGGCTGAAGACCAGCAGGAGGACATCAAAATTGATTTTTCTACATTTTAAATGCATACTGGGATTGAGGTTAAGAGAAATTACCCTTTAATCTATCAGGGTTTAAAAAGGAGATTATAAACTGGAGATCAGTGCACGGTCCATTATTGAAGATTATTATTATTGTTATTACAAACAGCATAAAATCTCCGAGCTGCTGCCAATGATTACGTACAACTATGGATGTAGTGTCTGCATGTGTCATTTAAGTGTGAGTGTTCATCTGAGACACTACAGCTTTGGCCATTTGTTTAAAATACCCTGTGCTGAGAATATCTTGGGGAGAAGGTTGCTGTCAATGGATGATGTCCAGGATCCTGTCCACACTGGTTTCTTTAAAGAATAATGAAAATCTTTTTTAAACAACCATAGTTAAACTTGGAAGAATAAATAAGGTCGTGTCTCTTGTCCCATGGAATTGTTTTGAAATGCATTTTTAAAAGTTTTAAGATTTTATTATTTATGTAAGAAAATATGTTGGTTAAAGGTGCAGTAGGATGTAAAACTGTGTTTACTTTGGCATAGTTGGATAAAAAGAGTTCAGTACATGGAACTGAAGTTGAAATTCAGAGCCTCTAATCGATGTAATTTATAAATATTTTCCTTACAGAAATTGACACTACACTGTACATTTACTGCCAGACTGACAACAAACTCGCTAGCTTTTTCCATCACGTTCTGCCGCTCGCTCTCTCTCATTCGCTCCACCACTCACTCGCTACGCAAACACACTGCACTCCTTCAAAGACCTGACGTTAACTCTGCAGCTGTCGGAAGCTAGCAAAACGCATGTTGCCGTGCTTGTACAGTGTGCGGGTGAAAATCAATAGTTCTGCATTGACATTAATAATTGAGTGAAATTTTAGTAACAACGCTCATAATTCAGCAGCGGCGATGCGCCGAATATTGGAGAACCATCTCTCCATAATGTGGACTTCAACTGCAAGCTGCAAGGTTAACTGAGTAGCTAGCAGTAGCTGCTAACATACAAACACACTGTAAATTACCCGAAGTGAAGGCAGAGCAGCCGGAGGACATCAGAGGGAAAACCAGACAATATTTCCTCCATCAACTGATCCAGTTTTAGTAAAACCAAAGTATAAAGTTGTGTTTATGCAAAGTAATCAGTGCCTAGTCTCGCATAGCATGCCTTGATTCAGTGTGGTAACGCTAGGCCCCGCCCCTTTTCTGTGCTCAGGAAGTTGGCCAATCAGAAGCCAGAGGGCTTTCAGGGAGGAAGAGACAGAAGCTAAAAAGGACTGTTCAGAAAGAGGGAGAAAAGAGGTGCTGAAGCAGTGGACAGTATGTGAAAAATAATGTGTATTTTAAACACTGAAGCAACATTTACTAGTAGAAACCCTAAAAAAAAAATAAAGTATGAACCTGAATATGAGTATTCTACGGCACCTTTAAAGCCCAGTATTTGAGATCCTGGGCTAGGGATTTCTCCACAAAATTCACCCCCATTCACGAGGAAAAATAACTGTGGAA